GATTGATTGTGTTATGGAATGACAGCTCATTCGCTTGAAATTCTGCTTTCAGAAATGCTATTAAGTCTAAATTGCCTGGAAACTACCTAGCTCATCCCACTCCTCATACCCACACATTTCCCCCTCCCCCTATTTCCTGCAAAAAATGACCTGGAGGTCAACTGTTCTACTAAGTTTCTGACCCCAGAGATTGATCGGCCAGTTATGAATTGTGTTTAAGTGACTAAACAATATGCAACCCATTACTTGACAGAGACATCCTGCTGTAGATATTCGGGGGGGGGGGGGGGCAGATTAAAAAGGTGGGAAAAGCATTATTGACCGTCATTAAGATTTTGTCTCGTTACATGTTTTACCTGACTAGCAGCACTCAGTTGATCCATTGTGGCCTTTTCCCATCCAAGCTAGCAACTGTCTTGACCCGGAGAAGAATTCTGAGGTACTGAATTCATTTCCTGGAACGTAGCCAGAAGTGAAGGGCATGTCCTAGCACAGCAGTGATTGCCTCTGGAAACAAGATGCATTGTACTGGGTTAATTCTGTACTAGCAACAAACAATTTCAGTGAAGCAATAAAAAAAATAAAACCTCATAAAAACAAAAAACATGTTTTGTTTCATGCACACCCACCCATTTTATTGAAGGGAATAATAATGCTTTTCCGATTCTTAAAAATGCCACTCTGTCAGTGGCGTTGTCTTTGCCCAGCAATTTTCATTTCTCCATGTATTTGTTCCAAGTGGACCTCATTCTCAGATCGTGACATCAATTGCAGTCCAAATCCAAGTCATATCTGCAAAACAGATTTCTTCCTTTGCACAAGGGAGTTTTAAACATTCATTTCCACAGCTTGTGTTGGAAAGAAAGTATTGGACTATTTTTGTTTTCAGTTTTGTTTCATTTATTATTTGTCAATGTTTAACCCAAAACTCTGTCTAAAACCTCCTGGTCATTCCAGTACATTCTACATATTTATTTGCCTTTAAAAAAATAGTTATTTTGTGTTAATCTGCTTTTCCCCCAGTGATAAATGCATATCTGAGGCTGTAAAGAAAGGCTTACAGCAAGACAATTGGTGGACTAGAGAGAAATGCTTAATATATGGACTTATAAACTGACTGCATGAGCAATGAAAAAGGCCAAAATATTCAGTTATCTTTGGGGGGGTAAGAATCACTGTAAAATTGATTTTTTGTATAGAGAACACTAAACATATAATAAAAACATTGTCCAAAACTGAAGCAAAGCCTGAGATTTGTTTCCATCCCACTCCAAAGAAGAAATAGGGCTCTGACGTTGCTCAATAAGGCCAAGTCTATACTTATCTGGAGATCAACTCTCCAGAGATTGATCTTCCAGGGTTTGATTTAGAGGGTCTAGTTAGGACCCGCTAAATCAACCGCTGATGGCGCCTCCATCAGCCCTGGTACTCCATGAGGTCCCAAGAAGAAAGGGTATGTCTACAACTTGCTCCCTAGTTTGGCCTAGTTCACTCTACCTATATTCTGAAGCAGGTCAGGATAATTATCCCCTGCCTACAGGAGAAACTGAGGCAGAGAGTGGGAAAGTGATTTGTCCAAGATTACCCCACTGATCAGTAATAGAGCTGGAAGTAGAATCATAGAAACATAGAATCATAGAACACTAGAACTGGAAGGGACCATGAGAGGTCATCGAGTCCAGTCCCCTGCCCTCATGGCAGGACCCAGTACCATCTAGACCATCCCTGATAGATGTCTATCTAACAATCCAGATCTCCTGAGGCACAGTACAGTGCTCTGTCCACTAGGCCACACAGCCTACTGGCCTACTTTCCACATGGGCACTTCTCTCCTTCCCAAGCAATAGGTCAAGGAGCAAGCATGGGGAATACTCCATCTCTCAGCTGGGCTGACGTGATAAGGAAAGCGATCTACACTATGCAGAGAGCTAGCCCAGGGTACGCTCCTCATGGAGCACAGAGAAACCAGGGACCAGATAACGATTCTGAATCACACAGTAGGTCTGCATGTCAAACTGGTGGTGACACCCAGGCTGAGGATGTATTTCCACAACTGAGCGTTCTGTGGGTGTGGAAGGAGCTGTCAATCCCCTGTCAATCACCTGGAAACCCACTTTGGGGGAAGGCAGTGTGGACAATTAAAAAAAAAACTTATTTATGGTGCTCAAGTCCCACCAGCATGATAAGAATACGTATAGCATCAGAATTCCTGACTTTCATAACTGGCACTTGACATATTATTATTGGTAAAAACCTGGCAGAGAAGACAGATCCAGAAAAAAAGAATACGTACATAAAACAAACTGTCACAAGAAAGGAGTTCCGCATTGTATTTATCCTGGAGAAAGAGCCACAAATGTGGGCAGTGCCTGATTTTCACAAAGATTGGTGCCACAAATCAGAGAGAAGAATCAAGCCTAGAACAGTCAACCTCTGATGAAGACACATGGGAAGATGCTGTCTAGCCCTTGCCTAAGGCAGTGTTTGTTTTCAAAGTTTTGCCTTCCAGTTTCCAAATGCAATAGTCCTGCATTCTGTGGAACGGGAGCTTACAACACAGGGTGACATGAATGGAGCTGCTGCCAGCAGAGGACTGGGCCCTGAACTGTGTCCACAGCCAGCCCATAGAAGGAGGGATTATAGCATTTTGAAAACAAAACTGTATGAAACATGGTGACAGCCTTCAACAGAGAGGGAATTTTGTTTGTTTATTTTTAATAAAACTCTTCCTGCGCCATCAGTTGTCCAAATCGCATGGGGTAGGAGTCCTAGAAGCTTAACAGGCATATTGGCATCAGCACCATATCCAAACAGAGCAGTCTAGGTATCTGCCAGCTTCTCTCTGGTTAGAAATCTCAGGTCAATGCCAAATGATTGCCTGACTCCTGCTGGACAGCACCCAGTACCCCACAGGAGATACTCAGCATCTTGTAGACCTGGTCCAACCTTCTGGTATCTACCCATCCAGACTCCTACATGGTCCCACAGCACGGTGGCCACTGCGTGTTTGCCACACCAGCCAGGCTCAGGCCCGGGAGCTATACTGGCACATTGTACGTCTAAGCACAAGGTCTGAGCCAGGCGTCTTTCTAGTGGAGCCTTGGCTCATCTCTAAGTGGAAGCCCCGACAGCCCGGAGGGATCTGCGGCATTTGGGCGGGTTGCACAAGGAACGAGTCAGCCTAGAGCAGTGTTTCTCAGCAACCGATCCCTGGACCAGCAGCAGTCCCGGAGATCTCCCCAATGCAGTTTAGGAAGATTCAGAGCACTAGGATAGTAAGTCATCTTCAGGACATAGTATTGGAGGCATCCTGGGGAAACGGACGGCGTGGGGGTGAATTGCCACCCATGCAGGGAGGAAGCAAATCCAAATACAAACGCCTGCCCTATGCCCACTCAACCCAGTCACATCTCCTGGCACTTCAGCCTTTCTGGGGCATGCGTCCTGTTAGGAACGCGTCGCCCTTGCACTGGTGACACGTGTCCGTCATACAGCACCCCCGCACGCTGGGCTGGCGCCCTGTCTGCTGGTAGGCCAGCAGGCACCGTACAAAAGGTGGAAAGAGGTAGAAAGGCCAGATTCATGGAGACAGCATGAAACAAGTGACAGCGATGCTGGCTGGTGCCCTTGTAACAGGCGGAACCAAACCTGGGACCTCTGGAGCTTAGTGCACGGTCAGAGCTAAAAGCCAGCTGGCTCTCGGCAACGGTCGCTGAGCCAGCTCATTCTCTGTAAATGGTCTACGTGCCACTCCATGGCACAGTGCCTCACCCCCGGCAGGTGTGCAGGTTACACCCTTTCAGCTGAGGAAGGTATTGTGAGATCAGCATTTGCACACCATTTCTACAGCTCTGTTAACATTTCATCCCAAGGCACCTCACTAGCTCCCTTACTCCCCAAAGCCTCTGGGAAACAGAGGAACATTATCTCATTTCACAGGGCAGGAGGCTCAGCCACAGAGCCAGGAGGGGACTCGCTCGTAGAGCAGCTCCCAGGCAGAGCTGGGAGATACCCCAGAGACCGGACTTCCATGGGCCCTTCTCTACCAATGCAGGACTCTCGCAGAGCGCCCGCCTGGTGTGTGCTTTCTATACCCAGGAGGGCAGGGCAAACAGCAACCCCTGTCAGCATCAGCACTTGTCATGCATCCACTGCAGCTCCAGCAAAGGGCAGGTGTGTTACAAGGTCAGACTGGAAGAGGAAGCTTGGGCAGCCCAAGAAACATTTGGAAAAAGAGTCACAGTTTAAACTGGCTCCCTCTTCCTCCCGCGCATCAAGGTCTGGATCCAGGCCTGGCAGATGAGAACCCTCATCTCCCTTTTGGCCAGAGATACTGTGTTTTTCATCTGTTCCCGCCTGGCCTCCCAAGGGCTTGGCAGCGCGCTTGACAGCAAATCCCTGGTACGAAGCCTTGACAGGGACGGGGGGGAGTGGAAAATAATACGGGCAGAAGAGTCTCTTTGGCTAATGAAACTGTAATTGCTCCAAATCTTGCTAATAGGATGAAAGTATTAGTCATCCAGTCCCTCTGCAGCAGGCGCTCTCCCCGCTCCCCAAAGTCGTGAACGCTTTCCTTTGCCTGCCACGAGCCAGCATCTGAAATACTTACAGTGGGTGCCCTGAAAAGTGCTGGAGAAACTTAGCTGGACTGGGAGGATCCACTGACAACGTGGAGATTTGTGGAGAGTGGGAGGGAAAGGGACAGGGGTCTGGATCTCAGCCCAGAGCAGCTGAGGGGAAAACTAGATAAGATCCCTGCCCACCCAAGCCTCACTTCACACCACCTTCCTGGAGTGCGGAAAGTGGCCGGGAAGGAAGCCTACCAAAATTGGGGAGCGGTGGCTTTGGTAAGACCCTGCTTAAGTGCACCCCTCAGTGACATAGCCCTGTTTTTTAATGAGCTGTTGGATTGCACCTTGCAGGGCATAAGGGCAGGGTGTTTAGCGGTGCTCCTTACCCCAGCTCAGAAAACACAACCTGTCCTGTACTCTCTCGCCTCCCCTGTCCCCAACCATCTGTTGCAGAAAGGCACCATCCACAAAAGGGAACTAGGGCACCAAGAACACCCCAAAGCCAGGCAGTCAGGCCCCCGTAGGGCTGTGGAGTACCCCACCTAGCGCATAAAGGTGCAGCAGATCGACAGCCGGCCCTGTTCATGCACAGTACCCAGTTAGGGCGAGGGGGCTGCGGGGACAGGAACGAATCAGAGAATGACCCACCGTTCCTGTAGGATAATGGTTCAGGGTGAGGGAGACAAGCCCCATCTGCTCCTCTCACTAACCTCTTGAGCATGGACAGGCCCTTATTGGTCTCAACTGGCTTGCCAAAGCAGCACCAAACTCCCCATGCTTCTTAGGATTCCCCCTACACCCACACTGGTAGCTTTGCCCTCCAGAGGTGGGGGAGGTCCCAACTAGGTCACTTGCTCCTAATTCAGAATCACCCCTCTTACCCCCACTCCATGTGGGGTGAGCTGGTTCTGCAGACGTACCGACGCACCACAAATCCAGTCATGCTTGGGGGAGCCCGGATTTTGAGGGTACAGCTACACTGCCCCAAACCGCACAGGAGCAAGTCTCAGAGCCCAGATCAGATGACTCTGGCTACACTGGAGGGCTAAAAATGGGTGAAGCCAGGCTCTGAGACTTGGAGCAGGGGATAGCAACTCACAGTCTGGGTTCTAGTCTGAGTCCAAACACCTGCACGGCTATTTTTAGCCCTGTAGTGCGAGCCCGAACCACCTGAGTTGTGTTCCAAAACTCGATCACTGGTGAGAGTCAGCTACAGGTGGGCTGAATTCACTCCCTGAAGGGAAAACCACTGGGAAGCTCAGATTGACCGTATACCAAACCAGACCGTTGGTCCCATCAAGTCTGGTCGCAGTCTATTGGCAGTGCTTCAAGCAAAGGCAGACACCACCAGATCCCACATTGACAGCAGGGATAATAGTTCTTCCCTACCTTACACAGAATCATAAAATTCTAGGTTTGGAAGAGACCTCAGGAGTCATTGAGTCCAACCCCCTGCCCAAAGCAGGACCAATCCCAACTCAATCATCCCAGCCAGGGCTGTGTCAAGCCAAGACTTAAAAATCTCTAGGGATGGAGATTCCACCCCCTCCTTAAGGAACCCATCCCAGTGCTTCCCCACCCTTCTAGGGAAATAGTTTTTCCTAATATCCAATCTAGACCTCCCCCACTGTAACTCGAGACCATTGTTCCTCGTTCTGCATCCCTCACCACTGAGAACAGCCTCTTTGGAACCTCCTTCAGGTAGTTGAAGGCTGCTACCAAATCCCCCTCACTCTTCTTCTCTGTGGACTAAACAAG